GCTTCCAGGAGCGTCTTGGGTGCCTCGGGGGAGCCTCTTGGGGCCTCTTGGGGGCCTTTTGGGGGCATCTTGGGGGCCTCTTGGAGGCCTCTTGGGGCCTCTTGGGGCTCTTTGGGAGGGGTCTGGGAGGAATTTTGGGGCCATCTGTCGGGCGATCGATCACAGATGGGGCGAGCACTTTTCTCCCCCCCGCCGTCGGGGCCAGAATCCTCGTGAGGGGTGTCGAATTTTAGCCCTCCCAGGAGTCGAAAAAGACCCCTCCAACCACCCGCGAAACGCCCTCTCCAGGCCCAGGGGGAGGGGGTAGGGGGAGGGGTAAACCCCTCCCCGAAAGGGAAGAAGGGGGTTGAGAACAGAGCGGGCTCCCTAAACCACTCACGCCCAAAGGGCTGGTGGGATTCCCCAATCAAAGCTTGCTTCTGTAGGGGTCCTAGCGGATTCATACGGGTAGGTCAAGTTCGTCGCCGATTTCGGTGGCCCGCCTGGGTGCCCAGGTGCCCAGTGCCCGGGTGCCCGCGTGTGCCCGGGTGCCTGGGGGTGCCCAGAGGTGCCCCGGGGTGCCCGGAGGTGCCGGGGGGTGCCCAGATGCCCGGGTGCTCCTATAGCCCTATAGCCTATAGCCCTAATAGCCCTATAGCCCAGTATCCCTACAGCCCTATAGCCCTATAACCTTATAGTATTATAGCCCTATAGCCCTATAGCTCTACAGCCCTAAAGCACTATAGCCCTATAGCCCTATAGCCTCATATCCCCATGGCCTCATTGCACTATAGCCCTATAGCCCCATAGCCCGATAACTTTAGGCAGATATGATTGGGGCTTTCCTTTGGTATCAGGGATGTATGTACGTATGTTTGTTCGTGTATGTGCAAGTATGTATGTATGTACGTAAGTATGTATGTGTGCATACATGCATGTCCGTATGCATTTAGGTATGCACGTCTGTCTGTCTGTATGAAGGCATGTATGCATTCATGCACGCATGTCTGTCTGTCTGTCTGTCTGTCTGTCTGTATGTATGTATGTATGTATGCATGCATGTATGTATGTATGTATGGGTGGTGCCCCCCCCGGGCTTGGTCTTGCCGCCCGCCGCTGGCGCCCCAGCTTCTGCTGGTACCACGCCCGTCCCACCCTGGGGAAGGGCTGTCGACAGGCCTTAGCACTGTTCGTTTTGCACCCTTACACCTGGGGGGGGTCCTTCCCGCGCACTGCGCCCCGCCGCCGCCGGCCCCCTGGTGCAGCAGCCGCCGCGGGCCCGCCGGCAGGGCTGGCCGCGCCACGCGTTCTGGGCGTGACCCGTCCCCCTGAGCGTCTCGCTCCCTCCGCCCTCTCTTTCGGCCGCGTTCTCCGCCTCTTCCCCCTCCTGCATGGTGACACAATTTGCTCTAACGGCGCCCCCGTTTGGGCCTTCGCGCTAGCGCAGACGACCCCTGGCCCGCCGCCGACACAATCATGAGTGTGTGCGTGGCAAGATGGCCAAGACGGACCCTCTCTTATCTCGAAGCCTTGTGACCTCACATGCAAGGGGAGGCAGAACCCAGCGATAGTTCGCAAGGCCTCTTGTCAAGCCGCCAGAAGGGGGCCCAAACGGCGGCCAAGGCTGCCGCGAAGCCGTGACATCGAGGACCGCTTCTTCGGGCTCGCATGCCAGAATCTGGCTAACAGAAAATACACAGGGCGGTGGAGAGGCCCCACGCGCGCTCCCTGCTCAGCGGCGTACTGCGCTCCAGAAAGAACGTGGTGCTCCAGTCGATTCCCCAGCGCAGCAGGTCCAGTTTCACTACATCCCTGTTGCGGGGCCTTCGGGAGCAAGGGCCTTGCAACAGCTGCACGCGATGCCGAGGAAAACAACCCCGCCTTGTCCTCCTGCTCGTTTTCCTCCCCCCCTCCCCTTCGCCGAGGCGGGGCCCTTCCCCAGACCCCCGACGTCGTGATTTTTTCGCAACGTCGACCCCCAGAGGTCTGGACCCCTTCCCCGGGATTGGCTTCTCACCATGAGTCGTTTCTTGACGGTCCCGAGGCCCGGTGGGGGCCCCCAGAGACCGAGAATACAGAAAAACCTCGCGTCGTGATTTTTGTTCACAGCTCGTTGGTGCAAATCGGACACCGTCGGCGGGCAAGTGGCAAGTGCGAGGTCTCCGCCGCGAGTGCCGGCCTCTACCCCGAAGCGGGGCCGCCCCCTGTCCCCGAGCGGGGGCTCGGGGGAAGGCTTCGCTCGTGGAGGCGCATGGCCAGAGGCCTGCATCCCCATCTTGATGGTGGTGCAGTCGACGTCGGGCCATGGTCTAAGGAGCCTGATGGCTAATCGAGGTGTTTCTTTTTCTCTTTCTGTCACTCGTGTGTGTATTTGTTGGTGTCGTCTGATGTCGAAAAAATCGTCCCCTCCTTCTCCCCCTGCCACCCCACGCCTCGATCTTGGGGCCCGCCGGGAGGAGCTCGGGCCCAGCGGCCAGGCGCTGGGTGGAGCGCCGCTGGCCTACGGGCCGCCCGGCTATAGGCAGACTGGGGCCCCCTCTTCCACATCATCCATGTCCTGTTGTTCCTCCTCCTCCTCCCCCTTCCTCCTCCGCCTGCTCCTCCTCCCTCCTGATTTAGACTACCTATACGACCGCCCTGCGGGCGATAAGGAGGTTGGGGGGGGGTGAGATCAAATGTCCACCCTGACTGACCTCCAGCCTGTCACCTTGATATATATATATATATATATATATATATATATATATATATATGAATATATACATATATATATATGTCTCTCTCTCTCTCTTTCTGTGTCTCTCTCTCTCGCCCTCTCCTCTCTCTCTCCCTCTTTATCAGAGTCTCCCTCCACCGCAATGATGATCGCGATGACGATGATATGCACTACCTAGCTATCCGTCGACCGACCTATCGGTGAATCTCACTGACGATCTCACTATCGACTTCAAAAGCTCGCCGCAGGCGCCGAAAAACGATTCGTTGTCGGACAACCACAGGACAACCATCGGCACAACCACCAGACAATTATCAGGACAATCACAAGACAACCGCCATTATGTATTGGGTTGGATGGATTGGAGGATGGGATAAGATGAGATGGGACAAGATGGGTTGGTTGAGATAAGATGTATTGGATTGGACAAGATGGAATGGATAGGAAGAAATGGATCGGACAAGAAAGCCCGCCGCCAGCGCCGACAAAGTGCATCGATGGATTGGGTTCGGTGGATTGGATTGGATGGGATAAAATGGATTTGATCAGATAAGATGGGTTGGATAGGAAGAAATGGATTGGATAAGATAAGATGGATTGGATTGGCCCGCCGCAGGCACAGAAACAAATGAATCGATGGATTGGGTTGGGTGGATTGGATTGGGTGGGATAAGATAAGATGGGACAAGGTTGGATGAGATAAGATGGATTGGATTGGACAAGGTGAATTGGATAAGATAAGCTGGATTGGACAAGAAAGCCCGCCGCAGGCGCCGAACAAAAAATGATTATGAAATTAGCGACATGCGCTAGCGCCGGGACGCCCGGGACACCAGGGACACCCGGGACACCGCCCGGCCCAATTGGGACACCTCCCGGCCACCAGCGGACGGGAAATGGACTTTCGCTCCTACGGACACCTGGGACACCGCCCGGCCCAACTGGGACACCCCCCAACCACCGGCGGACGGGAACGGATTTTCGCTCCTACTTCGGCCCAGCTACAGGAGGATCGCGCGCAGCTTCGCCTCGCCCGCACGCACGACACGAACACGAAGCCGAAACCGATTTCCCGGTGGGGGGTCTTCGTTTCACTACGATCTCACCTCCCAACCTCCGATATCTTCGACCAGGCACCCGGGCACACCCGGGTACCACGGCACCCAGGCGCCTTTTGGGCCGTCTTGGAGGCCTCTTGGGCCGATTTGGGGCTCTCTTGGGTCGCTTCGGGCCCCTAGTGGATCTGCGCATCTGAAGGTTGTTGGTTTGGGGTCTTCTTCCTTCAGATCCCAAGACATCAGACCCCCCCTCCAGGACTCCAGGGTGTGACCCACCCCTCCCTTCAACACCGAACCGCAGAAACCCTTCGAGAGAAGTGAAAGCCCCTAACCCCCCCAACCCCAGGACATCAGCCTCCTGGAGGGGTTTCTGATGTCCTGGGGTTGGAGGGATTGGAGGTTGAGGAGTTTTATTCTTTCGAGGGGTTTCACCCACAAGTCCCAGAACCCTCCAACCCCCCAACCCCTCCCCCCCCCTGCCCCTCAACCCCCCAACCCCGCAACCCCTCAACCCCCTAACCCTCCAACCCCCAACTCACCAGCACCCCAGCCACCCAACGCCCAATCCCCCCCAGCCCCCAACCCCCCACCTTCCCAACCCCCACCACAACCCCCCAACCCCCCAAAACCCCCACACCCCGACCCCCCACCCCCCCCAACCTCCCAACCCCCCAACCCCCTCAAGCCCCACCACCCTAACCCCTCCAGCCCCCCAACCCCTCTAACTTGCAAACCCGTCAACCAAACCTCCCAGTCCCCCAACCCCTCCAACCCCTCCAACCTGCCAGCCCCCCAACCCCCCAACCCCTCTAACCTTCCAACCACCCAACCCCTGAACCCCCCAAACCCCTCAAGGGAGGCGAAACCCATCAATCCCCCACCCTGGGAGATCAGATGTAACCCCCAAGCCCCTGACCCCGTGACATCAGAAATCCCCCAAGGGCGGCCCCCCCCCCCAAACCACCCCCCTGGGGGTTAGGGGGTTAGCAGGTTTCACCCTCCATGAGGGGCTTCTGAGGTCTCAGGGTTGGGGGGTTTGGGGGTTTCACCGTCCTCAGGGGTTTCTGATATCCCAGGATTGGGCGGTTCGGGAGTTGGGGGGCTTCACCCCTCGGAGGGGGTTCTGAGGTCACGGGGTTCTGATGTCCTGGGGCTGGGGCGTTGGGAGGGTGCTTGCTGCGCCTCCCGTGAGAGGCTTCGGAGGTTCCGGGGCTGGGGGTGCTTCTGATGTCCCGGGGTTGGGGGGCTGCAGGGTTGGAGGAGGAGGAGGAGGAGGAGGAGGAGGAGGAGGAGGAGGAGGAGGAGGGGGAGGAGGAGGAGGAGGAGGAGGAGGAGGAGGGTTCCGAGGGTTCCGATGACGACGAGGGGCTCCGAAAACGAGGCACCAAGCCAGAAACGCGATACATCATAAGCGCTAATTACTAAAATCAGCTACGCGAGGTGATAGGAACAGGCTTGTGAAACCCATTTCCTATCTTTTCGCCTGACGGGCCCTTCCCCTGGATAAGGTACTTCCTCTTAAAGTGCCTCGGAGAACCCAGGGGAGGTCTACCCTTACAAGGTCTGGCAATCAAAAACGCTCTGCTCACACACCTCGCAGTGCAATCTACACACCAAACCATCGGGCCCGTTTTCCAGAGGCGGTGCGACTCATGAGCCATCTGGACCCCCTTAGGGGGTCCTCCACAGCTCAAGTTCACCAGGTCACACCTACGAGCACGATTCTCTCCGCACCTCGCGCAAGCCCATCGTCCTTTGTACCTACGCACTACGTGGCCATTGTCATCACTCAGAGCGAGGCCGATCGGCCTCTCAACGTACTCCTTCCGTTCCACATCAGCCCATTTTCCTCTCGAACAGCGGCGCAGGATGCGCAGCACAGTTTTCAGCGTCAACGCTGCCGCCTGCTCGCGCATGTGACGAGCACGTTCTTGAGGTAGATCTCGTGGGTGCATGGCCGCACCACACTTGGCATAGAAATCCACTTGCTTGTTGCCGTGCCAGTAGGCCAAGGGAATCTGCTGAGCCAGCGCTTGCGTCTGCGAGAGGTGCGAGGGAATCCACTCGATCTGAATTTCATCAGCACCGACATCATCAACAGCTTTCCAGAACTGAACCCAAAGCTCTGCATACTGGTGTCCAGAATGAGTGCCATAGGGATGTCCAGCTTGCCAACCAATAAAGAGCTCTTTGAAGTCAGTGACGAGGTGCAGCTGGCCCTGCGACTTGTGCAGGATGGCTTGTCGGGCTGCAAACAACTCCGCCGCACCTGAGGTCTGCCATGGAAAGGGAACAGGTCCTGATGCTGCTGCAATGACATTTCCCACCGCGTCGATCATACAAAAGGCCCATCCACCACGAGCTCGAAACTCACAATGTGGAAAGATACAGCTGCCATCCACACAAACAACTCCACTGATCAGGCCAGAAACTGTGCACACATGCCAGCGAATCGTATGGTGAGCAACTGCATCAGGAAGCTGAAACAGGGGATCAGGAAAGAGCCCTTTGCACAGCATCATAGTACACGGATGATCTTGACCATACTCATTGCGGCCCCACAACATGAGCTTCCTCTCGAAACCGCTCCAGTCTTGTCTCTCCGTGAGATGCCAATCACATCTGAAACACCTGTGCAGATCAGTCCCTTCCTCAACCCCACAAATCGCACATAGTGGGCTCTCCGTGGCCTGCACATCATGCAGTCGAACTTGATTGAAGAAACCTCCAGCCAGCCAAGTACGAAGAAGACCAGCTCCTTTGAAGTCTCCTTTCTTCCGAAGGTCGGATATCTCCTTGAGGGCCGGCTCCAAAATGGGCGGTCCAACTAAACCTTCCATCCCACGACTGCCTGGAACACCTGCTAAGAGCCGTCGTTTAGTGGATACATTGACCAGCTTCCTAAGGGTGCCGACGCCGATATCATCTAAATCAACTCGTGATCCGCGCTCAGTGAACCAAACTTTCCAACTCTCAGCTCGCCATCCCATACGACGAAGCGTCATGAGAACTGCTCCAGCAGGTCCCTGGACTGACTGCCAAGTCTTGGTGTGGTTCTGCGCGTGCATGAAGGCTAGGGCCATGGCTTTCGGTCTGACCCACTGCTCCCACTTGGCCTTCATCCAGTACGCGAGCGGGTACTCATCAGCAATGAAGGTTGGATCAGACCGAGGACAATGTGAAAGAAGAAACTCCATGGTTCTGCTCCTTCCCCTTGCTGAGCCAAACTGCGCATGACCAGAGAGGGAGCGTACTTTCTGCAGCTGGGTGTCACTCATGCCTTGCACTTTAGCCGTGTAGCCAACTGACGCCAGACCTCCTGAGCGAAACAGCTTGCCCATCTGTCGCCCTCCTTGCGCCAGCCTGCGAAACCGTGGAACTCTCCGTCCAACTGCTGCCACTCGCCCTCGATGTGTAGGGATTCTGCCACCTCCACCCATCCGTCGATCATGTCCGAGCTGTCGCACAACTCTAGCTCGCCGAAAGGCCCAGTCACTTAGCGCCATCTCCACTTGCCTGGCCAACTTTGGAGTCGTCGCAATAACATGTCCTTTGTTCGGGCTCAGCTCCAAACCTATCCTGACCAGGAGCCTGCACAACATCTTGGCCGCAGCAATGATGATACGTGCAGCATCGGCCTCAGTGCCCGTAGCCTGTAGACTGCCATCGTCCACAACAACGCTGATGGTGAGCGACGGCCACAAGGTGTAGACCTGGTCGTACGCGCCCCAAGTGAAAAGGATCATC